ATTACAGTAAGTGGTGACTGACACTGGGCTTCGGCATTGGAACTGGGGCTGGGGCATGGGAATACGGGCCGTCTTAAAGGAAGCACAGCTACTGTCAGGCTCCGCCAACTGCTGCCATGATGAACAGTTGTCACATCATTCAATTTTTTGATGTAAGCTGAAATCCAGATTTTGTTATGTCTACTAATATAAGTAAATGTTGTTTGAAAAAGACTGGAGATAGCCCCGAATGTGATCATGCATTCAAAGGAATACCATGTTCCAGCAAAGGGGATGAGGACACTCTTAAAATACTGATGTAAGAGTGATCTCCATGATACATTGAAAAAGGCAAGCTGCAAAACAGTGTCAGTAAGGTAGTATAGTTCTATCATGATGAAAAGGGGAAGAGAAGTTTTACTTAGATTTAAAAAAATAAAAATAAAGGACAAACCAAATAAATGTGGTTACCCACGAGGGTGGAGCGGGTGGGAGAAGAGAATAGGGAAATGAGAGAGAACAGGGCTGAAAGCAAGACTTCAGTGCTTTTACCTTATTATATGGTTCTGACTTCAATATTTTGCAAATGTTTTCAAGAAAAAAACAAAATTAGATTAGAAAGAAAAAGAAAAATCTCTAAAACAAATGAATCTAAATGAATACTGAGCAAAAAGGGTGAGGTGTGAAAGTCTATGTGTCCGCCTGCTTGATGCCCAGGCACTATGCTGAAGCCCACTGCTGGCCCACCACACCCACCACTGACACAGTTCTGTGATCAGTCCTCCCAAGGGAGGGAGCTGGCGAAGAAATACCCTACACAATGAGTGGGAAAACCCAAGCCAGCTACCTGTTAGCAGCAGCTTAGTCCTTAATCATAAATATAGCTGATCAAAGGAAAACCAGTAACATGAAAGGGAAACCAAGATGGGCAATGTTATATGATCCAGAAGAAAAGAGATAATTCTTTAACAAGAGAATTAGAAAAGTTCTAATTAATAATCTTAGAGAGAGGACATTATAAACATTGAATAAGCACAGCTGCTATGAAGGAAAGCAATCAGAGTTGGATATTAAAAATAATTGTCAAAACAAAACACCCAATAGGGATATAGAGAAACTTCAAGAACATGGCTAATGAATATATAAAAATTTGTTTAATCTCACAAGTAATCAAGGAAATGTTACTTAAAACTAGGTATTTTTCACCCATAAGATTGGTAAAATTAGCACTGCTGTTTTAGTAATTGTCTTAGTGAGGGTTGCAGACTAGGGGGCTTAAACAACAAACCTTTATTTCTCAGCCGAGGAGGCTGAAGTCTGAGGTCAGGCTGGGTTTTTTGTGATGGCCCTCCCCCCTTTCCTGGTTTATAGATGGCTCTCCCATTGTATTCGCAGAAACAGTAAGCTCTCCTGAATCTTTTCTTATAAGGGCACAAATTCCATTTATGAGGGCTCCACTGACCACCATGGCCTAATTATCTACCAGAGGCCCTCCTCCTTCTACTATCACATCAGGGGCTAGCATTTCAACATACAAAATTTAGGGGACACAGCCCTGGCCAGTTTGGCTCAGCAATAGGGGCATCGACTTGCGGACCAGAGAGTCCTAGGTTTGGTTCCCACTAAGCCCTAGAGGCTAGGGGCACGTACCAAAGAAAAAAGGGGGGGGGAAGGGGCACAGACATCTAGTCCATAACAGTAATCTAATGCTACATAAACAAATCACTCCAAAAGTTTTATTTTTAATATTTTTTCTTCATCGATTTGAGAGAGAACACCGACTGGCGGTCTCCTGCAGGCCCCCCACTGGGGATTGGGCTCACAACCTGGGCATGTACCCTGACCCAGAATCCAACCAGCGACCTCTTGGTGCATGGGTTGCCGCTTAACCAGTGAGCCACACTGGCCAGGCAGAAGGTGTTTTAAAAAATCATTTATTGTCACCCTGGCCAGTTTGGCTCAGCGGTTAGAGCATCAGCCTGTGGTCCCGAGAGACCCTGGTTTGGTTCCCGCTAAGGGCACGTACCTCGGTTGCGGTTTGTCCCCGGCCCTGGTTGGTCGTGCGGGTGGCAGCCGCTCGATGTGTCCCTTTCACATAGATGTTTCTCTCTCTCTCTATCTCCCTTCTACTCTATCTGAACAAAAAATGTCCTCGGGTGAGGATAAAAAAAAAAAAAAATCAGTTGTCTCATGGTTTCTGTGCATTAGGAATTCAGCAGTGGTTTGGCTGTGCAATTCCAACTTGGTGTTATCTCATGAAGCTAACAGTCACTGACGGCTTGGAGGTTGGAGAGCCTTTGTTCCTCCAGACTTGCTTGAGAAGCCTTGCGGCATGGAAACTGACTTCCTCCAGAGCAAGCAGTCAAAGAAAGCAAGGCCTTTATGACCAAGCCTTGGAAATGCATGGTCACTTCCGCTATATTCCACTGGACACCGAGATGAAAAGCCAGGAGGTGAGGATCTTTGGAGGCTGGCTATCACAACTGCAGTATTTAGTTTTGGCAAGAATGAGAGTAAATGAGTGTGCCCTGATGTACTATTGCTAGTGTGTTAATTGGTAGACTTGACTTGGGTGATCTGACAGTAGATAGTAAGAATTAAAAAGCACATACATACCTTTGCATATATTCTATGTAAAAAAAATATGTATGGTGATGCATTGTTTGCAATAACAAAGGAAGAACAAACCTAAATAAGTGTAAAGAAAGGAATGGGTAAAGAAATACTAAGGAACAGTAAAAAAGAATATGGCAGATCTATGACTAACCAAGAAATATTTCTAAGACAACATGGTTAAGAAACCATGAAACATACTTCCATTTACATAAAAATAAAAAGCAAATCCATGAAAACTTATTTTATGTTTATATGTATATACCAATGTGAAAATCTATAGCAAAGGTCTGGAAAGACACGGGAAACATTTTTGTAGTTATTTCTAAAAATGGTAGAGTGTGGGGACTAGAGGCAACATTTTTACTTTATAACATTGTACTGTTTGAATTTTTAACAAAAATGGCTTTAATACTTTCAACATTTAAAATTGGTGAATAGCAGACTTTGACAACCCAAAATGCCCTCTTCCAGGAAAGAATATGGACTTTACTGGTCAGACTTGATATTTACATTAGCTCTTCAGAGTCTCTCTCTGTCGTATGGATTTTCAGTTGCTGCCACAGTTTCACTGATCTCAGACCAAGTCTTTAGAAAACTGAGAGAAGAAAGCAAGGTCTCACCGTGAATGTTTTTGCTTGTGATTGTGCTATCGAATAGGGAATGGCTGGATGTTAGACCTATAGGCAGTAAAATACTGGCTCTCACGTAGCCTGTTTCATCATCTAAAAACTGGGGTTAAGAACGCTACCTACCATACAATGCCATTATGATCAAATGAGATACTGAAGTCACTGGCACTTATTAGATACTTAAAAGGTGGTCATTATCAGTTTAGGTCCTTCCTAAATCTCTCATCAGAAGTAAAAGCGGTTTGGTCAGTATAAAGATGTGATGGAATACATGCTAAGGGAATGAAGCCAATCATGACATGTTGGTTTACTCTTACTCTCTCTCCTAGAGTATTTAAGGAAGGAATACCACCTGGGTCAGTGCTATTAGCTTGTAAGAGGGTACTCATTCTGACTTAAAAATCAAAACAGTTTATTGTGTTGTAGAGGAATAAAAATCCTTTAAAAATTAGTACACAAACAGAAAAGCATCCATATCTAATCTATTGTCAAATTACAATATATTTATTTTCCAGAAAAGTTTAATTACGGTTAGAAAAAAATCATTGGTTCTAATATCAATTTCAATACCTCCTTCAAATAGAATGTTCCTGTCAAAATTAGATCTATATTTGGGAAGCACCTACTAAAACAGCAACCCACACAACAGGACTATAAGACTATAATCCTGCAACTTGGTAGAAGACTGAGATGTGTAAGTGAATCTTGCCCACGTCATGAACCCACTGAATTGTTTGGCTACTATACAATGCTATGATGAACTCGAGTCCAAGAATTCCGGAAAATGTTCTAATATTAAACCATATTAATAACTTTATATGCACAAACTACTTTTTTTAAAGAAACTTTTTAGCAAGAAAGCGATCTTCAGCTGAGTTTGACTACAATTAAAAAGCAAATATAAAACCTTTGTTCCAGGATCTTAGAGTATATTTTATAATGCATATACATGGTTTACTGCGTTGCACAGAGTGAGAATCTCTGAGAATGCACTTTCCTTGTATGAAGAGTTGAGAACTGTAGAACATCAGCATCACAAAGGCATTCAGAGGACAGCGGCTGTATCCTTTGCACCACTGCCTCCTTCATGATGCTATCACAACGCTCTTCCACAAACGCTAATAAACGTTCACTAAATTTAATTGGAGAGGTACATGGAACACATACAAACGACCCCTAACACAGCTATAAATACTGTACAACACAGTTACATAGTTTCAAAGTCAAGATAGTTTATTCAATGAGGTAGATAAAAATACTCAAAGGAAAATAGAAAGTAAAGCATTTTAAGTGTCTACATATTATGGATTTATAATGCAGCTGAATTTATGCAGTCAATGATACATGTTTTCATAACTCTTGTCTATTCAAGCAGTTTTCAATGTTTATCATACTTATTAAAGATTTTTATTTAGGCAAAGTAAACACTAAAAAGATATAAAGCAAAATAATTCAATTTATTTCTTAAATGCCTACATATTTACAATCATAAAAATTTTCATGCATTATAACTTATGAGATACTACACCTTTCACAGTTATTAAAAATTAAAAATCTTAGGAAACCTGATTCAATGAACTTACAAAGAAATTAATGGCTGATCAGAAAATATCAAACTACTATTATTACCTTAAGGTTTTCTCATAATATGAACAGTTTTTAATCATGAATACCTTCATTTTACTTTTAAAACTATACTTACACTTTTTAGACTGAAATCTCATACTGGAGTAATGAGACTTTACTCCAAATTATAGTCACATATGGAAAGGAGCCTTTAATTCGAGGTTTCATTATGGTCCACGGTACAAAGATATATTTTCATGAGGGTTACATGATGGATAGCCAGCAAAAAAATATGCTAGCAGAGGGTAGTAAACTGCCCACTAAGCATGCACTGAACCAACAGACTAATTGAAAACATGGTAAGTCCTTGATTATTGCCAGCTTTTCTACAATATTCAGGTTCTCAAAGGTCACTGAATTTTATAATTATCTCCAAACAATTTTCTTCATGGTCATTTAAGCTTTGTCTAAATAGTTGAGTATGTTGCCAAGCAACATCACCATCTCCTCTGCTTAATTCTGCTTCCAAAATAATTTCAGTGGCACCAGAAAAATCATTATAGGAGCGAAGAATTTTATCTGTTGGAGGAAAAAAAAAAAACCACGTTGCTTTTGGAAACTTAAACATAAAATGACTTTTGGAATGCATTTTAACATATCTTACTTATAGGTAAAAATCAACTCTTAAGAATGTGTCCTTTGAAACAAAGAAATGATTTTTCTTCTTCCATTTGTGTTTCACAATAAAAAAATATAAGCCCTTCTACTAGAATGAGGCTATACAGGCTTCAATTACAATATTTTTTCTGCAATAGTATGAATAACTCTTGGGTATGAAAAACTCAAAACTGCATGTCAAATAAGTACGATTCCTCTTCAGAGTGGTAAATACACCCTTTGCGATTAATTCTCCGGTCAAATGCTTACCGCCCAACAGTTCTACTTGTGCTACACCAGATCGCAGTCGCCACTGTACTGTTCCAGTCTGGAAGGTCTGACTGCTTGTTCTAATGGAAATACTATCTAGTTTTAGGCCAACTGACCCACACTCAAACTTCCAGGAAATAGAAGCATAAGATGATCCTTCCTTTCGGGCTAAATACACCTACAAAACAGGATGAAAAAAAGGAATTGTAAGAAAAAGTTAAATAGTGTAGAAAACACATATAGTCAAAGTCATTGTCACAGGGTACTAGGTACAAATGGTTATTAAAAACCTAATTTTTTTCCCACTGAAAAAAATTTTTACTAACATTTAAACATTTTTATTAGTTTTACCTGTGGTATCTTTTGCTCTGGAAGGAAAATAATATTTGAATACAGGTAGTCCAACAAGTACAGCCCTAAAGGGCTGTATGCTAACTAATGCTAACTAAATTTTGGTAAATTATATTCTTTTAAATTAGTAAGTCCAGGTATTTAAACTTTATGATGAATCCTGCCAAAAATGAAGAATCCTTTTAAAATGCAATTATTTCTTGTCTCTTCAAATTCTGGATTTTCAGATCAGCTTTCCTAGAGTGAGATGAGCCATATCCTCTAAATTAAAAAAAAAACAACACACCTCAGTCACTGCTAAGGAATGGTGTAGCAAAGGTAATATCCACGCTGGCCTCCTAAATGGCACGCTCTCCATTCCTTCACCATCAGTGACCCTTAGCACTTTAAATCTATACTAGTTAAGGCATCCAAGTTTATTGGCTGCTTCCAGCTTATCTCCTCTCATAGTTTCATCTATACTCTTCAAATGATGACATGACAATTGACATGAAAACTGACATCCCCAGCCATGGTCTTTCACAGGTAACTGCATTCACCCAGGTGCAAACCCCCAAGGGTCTGACTCTTTGATCATTAGGATAAAGGCCCCCACAACAATCAATGCATTTTCTTGAAATAAATCCACTACAGTCATGACTTTATGCTCATCTTTGTGCAACTGCCTAATTCCTGTTTTAAAAATCCCACTTCCCTCATCATTTGCCTGGTCTAGAATGTACAGCAAGCATCTGGCTCTTGCATTAAATCCACACTCTTAGCTTTCACAGTTCTCCAGAATTTTATCCTACCCTGAACTACCAATATGCAAGTATTTCTCAGATCAAGTATTTCTGGTGTACTTGTGTGATTTAACTTAACCCAATCATAGCTCTCTGGGGCATAGATTTTGCAATCTTAAGAGGATTTAATAAATAGTATTTAAATATTAAAGGATTGTACACACATTCACATTCTTTTGGAAATGTCAAATCTGCTTCTCAGGGGCAAATAGTGGGAAGTGACACATAAAACATCTGCATGAAAGTCCTGCTCCACATCTTTAGTCATCAAGGAAAAAATCACTGCCAGCACTCCGGGAGTCGTTAGTTTCACCTACCCTAAACCACTGGCTATCCACAGCTTGCTTACTCCTTCCAAGAAGTGGCTAGTAAAGGACATTATCTGGGAAAGGTGAGCCAAAAAGCAGGGTTACAGGAAGAAAAGGGGTTGGGAACGACTAAAAAACTGGGGAAAAGTAATCTTAATACAGAAATACGTTCAAACTCATATTTCAGTATATACTTCTATATAATAAATTTTGAGAGCTCAGTGGTTTTAAATGCCCCCCCCCCCCCCGCCCCGGCACAATATGGGTGTAAAACATGATGGGCTGTGCTCACTCCGGCAGCACATGCACTAAAATCGGAACGATACAGAGGAGATTAGCAAGGCCCTGAGCAAGGATGACACGCAAATTCGCGAAGCGTTCACCTTTCCTCATGCTCGGAGACCCCACTGCCTCTGCAGCGCAAGTTTTATTTCCTTCAATAAAAGGGATGGGGAAAAAACCATATGATGGGCTTAAGTCAAGTTAATTCCAAATTTCTAGCTTGCCCCAAGAATTGTCTTAATTATACCATGTGGCTCTGGGCCAGGATTGTGGTTTTAACTGTCACAGGAGGTTTGTAATAGTTGTTGAACATGTCCAAGAGGATCGCTTGTTTCTAAGACTTACATATTTTCAATACTAAAGGCATCAGCTTTTAAGACTTTAAACAGTTAAAGGATAAGATGGACCACCCATGAATTCTTAAATGCTTAAATAAACAATCAAACATATTGTGAGCAAATAAAAGGTCTAAGGCTAAAGAAATGGTATTTGGAGATAAAACAGACCTTATTTATATGGAAAATTCATGTAATCTCTTTCACAAAATACAGTCTGTCTAGAGCATTTTAACCAATTTATTTTAACTCAGTATTTTTAGAGGTGGTAGAAAGTTACCAAGAATATGCATATTAGTTTGGTAATTTGAAATGCACCAAAACAATAGGATTTATGTAAACCTCCAAATGTCGTCCTGTCTATGTGTAATACCAATAAAAAGAATAATTTTATTTAGAATAACAATATATATTAACAAATACTATAACAAATACTCAATTTTTTGATTGTGACACCCCCAAAAGCATTTTTATAACTGTTGGGTGTTCCTAACTTCTTGAAGTTACGTTAGACAACTTGTTTGTTCGCATTTTAAATTCATAGGTGTCATTATTGTGTATAGTTCTACATGCTCATTTTTGCAATTTGTGGGCCTACTAAGAGGTGGGTGACGCTACCCTACTTTAGCAGCAGTGGTATTACATAAATCACGGAGTTTTTCTCCTGCAGACTTAAGTCTATATAGCACCCCTTCCCCTTAGCGACGCACCCTTGACCCTCTGGCATCTGTAAGGACATGCAGGCATATCACAACCTGTGCGTGGGAACAAGGCTGTGTCTGTGGCTAAAGGTGTAAGCTGTATACTCACAATGTACACAAATGAAACTTGTCCTTTGGGTTGTGTCTATAACCACTATTTTCAAGACTGAGAACAATCTGCTTGTCAGCTTTTTTACACGGTTCACATTCTGCAGATCTTCACTTAGAGATGTTCTGATTACGACATGCCAGGCTGGTTGCCAGCTGCCATGGCTCCCTGGAGGTTCAGTTTGTACTGCACTATTTGAAGTTCTTCTCTAGGATGCTTTTAAAATTATCCTTCTGCTTCGACTCCTGGATTAACTCTCATTAAGCTCACCGTGCAGTAGACATTCTGTAGTCAGTCATTCCTCCTACAGATATCCAGCAGAGCAGTTTTATTTCAAGAGATTTAAATTTAACGCTGGTAAACTGATATTGCTCATGAATCTTATTTTTGGTTATTCCATTTTATCACTGAAATCAAACGTGAATCACTATCAGTCCCCTCTGTAATCTTTCTATACTACGCTTCTGATTTTTGCCATTTGCAGCCTCTGGAATGACCTCTGGATCGCTAGTGTGATCACATCCTTTCCTTGCCTGAACTTTCATGGGTTCCTATTACATAATCATAAGGTAATCCAAGTCCCTGGGACCTGACAACTCTTTATCTCTCCTCTCTCATTTCCCATTATTCTTCTTTCTACTACTTACTCTTCCCTGGATATATCAGATGTTTCTCTCCTCAGTACATTCGTGTGTTATTTCTCACGCCCCAAATCACCCTGACCTTCCACATCCTGTCCCTCCACTGAGAAACTCTCCCTTTGCCACTTCCTCCAAAAGCCCACCCAGGTATTACCACGCCTGTAAGGCCTTCTCTCAAGAATGGACAACAGCTCTTCCTTCTGTCATCTCTCCCTTAGTATCATATGCTTCTAGCACTTACCTTGCTAATCTAAATTGTAGGTCCGTGTGTCTTTCTCTTTATTCAACAGTATACCCTAAGTGTCCAGCGCAATGTGTGACAAGATGCATGTTTGCTGAGTGACTAAATGAATTAATTCTGGACATAATACTATTCATCAAAAAGTGTTAAAATGGCGCTAGCGACAAAGAGAGTGATAAAACTGCTCAAAAATGCAAAATATCTAAGAACAGCCATAGTCTGTGGTGGTCTACCATAGTCCTGGCTGGGGTGATGCAGAATTTATGCCATATACACTTATTCTTATAGTCACCAAACTTTACTAAACATTTTTTATACATCAAATACCATGATAAATAGAGAAATGCTGAGAGTTGTACAAGTGAGTAGAAAAAGACAAGCTCTCCCCCCAAATGATGATTACAATCTAGTGGGCGAGACAAATACTCTGTTCTCATACTATTTGTTGGAAAAAAATGTCATGAAGGAGAGGTACATGGTATAGTAAGCCAATAAAGAAAGAAATAAATCCAGCTAGCTGGGACTGGAGGGAGTAAGGCTTAAGCCAAGTTCTAAGGACAAGAATAAGCTAATGTAACCGAAACAGAAAGTACAGGAGGTTCTGTGGAGAGGCTGAGGGCAGGGCAGCTACAAAGCAGAGAGCAGCGGGTAGCATGGTACGAGGTGAGGCCAGAGAAGAAGGCGAGGGCCAGCCTGGAAAGACACTTGAGCTGGTTTTTGCCCTAAGAGCATTTAGTAATGATTGGGGTTTTGAAAAGTTTTTATGGCGACAGCACAGAGAGCATCTTTGAAGGGGCAGATGCAGGGAGACTAGCTGGGAAGCTATTAACGTCACTTTTATCAAGGTGTTATCACTTGCCTCCTAAAATGTGTATCAGTCTTCTTGATTTAGCTTTTTATATTCCTTTCAAATCCACACAACACTGAAGAATGTACTTGCTAAGCAGTACAGTGCAGTAAGTCTCTGTGCTCTTGGGAGGCTACCTCTTTGAGAGAGTAAGAATCTGTTCCAAATACCCAAGAGCAGGCTGCATGTGATCTGTCTTGATTCCAGGCTTACCAAGGAAATGTGTGGTGAGAAATAGGCTTGAAAAAAATAGTCAAGGTGAACGTATTAAATACAAATTGGTAGTTACAAAACAGTCACAAGGATGTAAAATACAACATAGGGAATATGTATGGTGCCAGGTGGTACTAGGATTTATTGGGAGGATCACTTTGTAAATTATACAAATGTCTAATCACTATGCTGTACATCTGAAACCAATATAAAATACTGACTGTGAACTATAATTGGCAAATATAAAATTACATTAAAAAAAAAAAGAAATAGGTTACTTCCATTTAATGGAGCTAGAGAATCCCTAACTGGGGACATGCTAGTACAGAACTAAAAAATGCCGATTTAGGGGGAAAATTTTAGAGGCAATATCTTAGTTCTGAGTTATTAGTTTCTACAATATAGTTAAGATTTAAATATTTGTCTTCATCGTATATATTATAAATTATATTAAATATTATATATTATAAATATTATAACTAAAAACAGATTAATTCAACTTCTAAAAAGATGCCCTTCGTAAAAGTGTATCAAGGCATAAACTTAATACGTGAGTAGGAGCCTGTTTTTCATTTAATGGCCTTTGTATCTCATTTACATTATTTAAATCTTTCTCATACAAAATACCCTCTCTGGCCACAATGCTCTATTTAGAAATCTCGAAACATGCCATGTGCTGCATGCTTCTCCCCTTCTGTTCCCGGGCCTTACGACACCTACTCATCCCTCAGCGTCCAGCTCAAATGTTGCCTGCTCTAGGGAGCTTTGCCCAACTCCCACAGCCAGAGCTAATTACTCCCTCCTTGGTGTTTCCATGGCAATGTGTTAATATCCTTATTATAGCACTCTTCATCACAGTTAAGATGGCTGTTTACACTTTGGTTTCCCGTTAGACTGCGAGAGCAGAAACCGTACGTCTATCTTTTCATCCATGTAGCTGACAAATGCCTAGCACAACAGGCGCTCAGTAAATGTTTGCTGATGAATCAATGAGTGAATCGCACAAAGAAGAATTATGCCATACAACAGACCCGTTCCTCTGCACATCACATCTTCTGCAGCACAGCATCATGTCCTCCACTTTCTCCATTCATACTGCTGGTTAGGAAGAATGGCAAGCTAGCCTAGTTTAGTCCTTGGATAAAAAACAAATCTATTCTATCCTGCTTCTGTTCAGAAAAATTTTAAGGTTAATGATATTCTTCCAGAAGAAGTTCAACACCTCTCAGCAACTATATAATCGATTACAGATATAGATACAAATACAGATTCAAATCTTGAAATCTTAAATTTTATCTAGTTTTTTTATGCCCTTCTATAACTAAAGAAAATTCCTAAATCTACAATTTTAATAATGCTATAAGTTATTCTTGCTTTAATACAAAAAGATCACCAGAAACTTTTGTTTGAAACAAAAACTTATGATTGGGGGGAAAAAGCAGGAACCTCATCTCTGCATATCTTCTGTACTCTGATTAATGCCTGAGTACGGTGATAAGCATATAGATGCTCATAACACTAGCAGCTGTTAACCTGTGACTCACTCTTTTAATCGATCCAATGTTTTGCCAAGTGAACAACTCCCTTCCCACTCAAACATTAGCAAGTTAACTTTAAAAGCTCCCTATAAGTTCATCTATCAATAATATGGTTAGACCTACTGAGGTCATTTGAATAGCTGAGTTTATTTTTAGCGCTTTTCTAAGGAATAGGGCAGATTAAAAGCAAAGCTTCTTGTTACAGATAATGGGACAACGATATGCAAGTAGGCATATGAGAACTACTACAGTCCTAGCAAACCATTTCTTTATTCTTTAAGACAGAGTAGAAATAACCAATATCAGTGCTCAATCATCCACATTATAATGAAATGAAGGTGTGTTAAATGGTTAGCTCTTGGGACTTTGAACTAAATGCTATATTCCATAATAGCCCACCTTTAGTAGGCAATCAACGCATACCTGTGAAGAAACTAAATAACAACATACTTCATACATTTATGCTAAAATTAGTCATATGGATTAGTCATATACTTGATTATTTTTCCCCATGAAAGCATTAAATTCAGCCTCTTTGATGAAAACAGATACTTCCTTGTTATAAATGCACAAATCTTGGGATTAGATGCTGGGAATAAAATTTTCTTTTACAGGTTTAAGGAACATTAAAAGCAATTTTGATGTATCAGTTTTCATGTCGTGCACAACTGAAAAATGAAGCCAATCTATATCTGTTTAAACAATGACAAAGGTTTTAAACAGTTTCACGCATTAAATTACCATGTTCCAGTCTGTTTCAACTTTTCTGAATATGGATTCAGTTGTCCACACACCCTTTTCCCATCCAGAAATGGTTTGATTATTATTTGAAACTCGAACATAACGATCTTTCACAATATTATAACAAAGGTGAAGCTGTTTAGAAATCTTCTCATTTTCGGAGGGGATGAACAAGGTTTCTTTTTTCTTAAAAAGAAAAACAGAGAATTAGTTTATCAAGATAATGAAAGATTTATATAAATATGGGGGGAAGAGGGGGGAGGGAGGGAGAGAGAGACTGCTATGTGTAATGGTAAGAGATTACTTCAACTTGAAAATGACAAATCAGTGCCATTAAAAATTCAGAAAATATTTTACAGGTTAAACATGATCAGTATAATGTAGATACAGCACCAATTGCTACAAGACAGAAAACAAGAAGTATAAACAATAGCTCTGACTTCAATTTTTTTGATTTTGTGTTCACCTACATTCATTTCTTTTCATTTACACCATCAACATCTTCTAACTGACTGTAATAATCGTCTCCTGAAGTTACTCCCAGCTTTCAAGTTTTCTCTCTCCTGTCAATGCCTCCACATAGCAATTAAAGTGATTTTTTAAAAAATGTAAATTGCGATGGTATTTCCTTGCTTACCTCACTCCACTGACTTCTACTGTTCTTCAACTCTAAACCTTTATCAAGAGTTACATTACAGGGCCCTACATGATCTGTCCCCTGCCTGTTTCTCAAACCAGATCTCATGTTATTCTTCCCTTTTGTCTCTATGCTCTCACCATATTACTTTTCCTTTAGTTCTTCAAAAAGATCCAGCTCGCTTCTGCCTCAGTGCCTTGACACATGCTGTTCCTGCTGTCTGGAATGCTATTCTCTCTACTTCCACATATATTTGATTGTTTATCATCCTTCAAGCCTAAACATAAAGCCATTTCATCAGAGAGTCCTTTCCTGATACCCTACGGTAGGGGAATGTCTGGGAGCTTGAAACAATCGTCTGCACATGTGCAATTACTACAAAACCCCATGTTTTACCTTAAAATTCCGGGCAAATTGTGTATTCTAGCCCAATAAATCCATGTTCGTTTTATTGTAAAACAGTCCCCAGAAATCCTAAAATCACTGAGTGAATCTAAAGTTTGAGAAAGATGATATACTTATTTGGTCTTTATGTGCCACTGACACAATGGTCCCTCTCCCTTAGACATGGGCTTAGTAGCATTTTGAATCAGATAATTCTCTGTTGTGGGGGGCTGCCCTGTGCATTGCAGGTTGTTTAGCAGCATCCCAGACCTCAGACCACTTGATGCCAGGGGCATCCCTCCTCCCAGGTGCAACAACCAAAACATCTCCAGACATTACCAAATTTCTCCTGGAAGGCAAAATCATGCACCTCTGCAGAACCACTATTCTAGTCTGTGTTAATGTCTTGCTACAGTATTTACTCATCAATCAGGATAGCAGGTAATGCTATTTTTGTTAAATATTGGGTACTAGGTATTAAACATTATAAAAACTTTGAATGTACAAGAATCAGTAAGAATATATATATTAGACACAGAAAAATTACATATGTGTATGTATATGTGTGTATACACACACACACACATATACATATAATCAGTTAGAATTACAAAGTAGTAAAATTAAGTGTATAAATAAGAAGATAATTGTCCAGTAGAACCTGTGTGTATTACTACCATAAAGGTAAAATAAAAGCAGTTTATTATTTTTAGAAATTGGTATTATAAGTTTGTGTACTACACTCAAAGCAAGCATGTAACAAAGAGCTTGACATAAGCCAAATGGAAATAAAACTTAAGGTAGCATTATCTATATTTCACAAAGGATAACTAACTGCAAAAGGGAAAAGAAAAATATATGTTACTGAACATACCATGTATGCAACTGAACAAAAAATCTGGAGTAGGAATAACATATTTTGTAAAATCTTTAAAGTCTAAGATTAAGATGAAACTATTCTTTCTGGAAATGATATCACCAATGTTTTCTTCTTTTTCCAACTCATTTCAAGGTATAGTTCCATAATTTTTTAGAACTGACATTTTTCGATTTACTTTTAAAATAAGCATTTATTTCTAAAGAGAAAAATGACATTTTAAATCCATGGCCCTAATATGGTCTTCAGTAATTGAGAAATTAAAAATATTTTCAAAAGGAGAAACAATCTGAGTATATGACCCAATTCATATTTTTAAAGTTTAATCAACTTATACGCCATATAAGAGGAAGCACACCCATCCATAAAAAGAAAAAGAAATGAAGACCTAAATAATATCAATGTTTTGAATTGAACACAGCTGTGAATTAAATTAGCTCTTTTAAGTTGGCTTCATTTAGATTTATACTTATAACTTGCACTGCATCAGCAGTGATGTGAATGATTTGTTGAATTTAGATCTTGTAATTCTATGGCTAAACCAATACTTTCAACTGCCTGCTAAAGATGCTAGAATAAATTAAAAAGCAAACAAAGTTACTGGGGATAATTCACCCCTTGTGGTCATATTTCTTTACTGGAGAAATGAGTTACAACAATGGCAAATTTAAAAACAGCAGATATAAAAATTTAATTTGTTTATAACTATTGATATTGATCCTGTGATGGGTTATTTTCCTTTCAAGCATTTTTCATTACATATCATCTTAGACCTTCATATGAAATACTTTCTAGTGAGTCAACTTTAAACCCTAAGGTCAAGAGACAGTCTATTGTACTTTCTTTGTGTCTATTACAGAGCTTTTCACCTAGCCTCTAATTATAGATATTTTGACATTTTATTTCCATTGCTTGGAGATTAATCAAGAGACACCTTAAAATAAGTTTGATCATATAACAGTAATCACACCAGCAGCAATAATTTCTAGCCAATACCAGAAGTACGCAAGTCGAGCCCTGGCCAGTTTGGCTCAGCGGTTAGAGCGTCGGCCTGCGGTCCGGAGAGACCTGGGTTCGGTTCCCGCTAAGGGAACGTACTTCGGTTGCAGTTTGTCCCCGGCCCTGGTTGGTCGTGCGGGTGGCAGCCACTCGATGTGTCCCTTTCACGTCGATGTTTCTCTCTCTCTCTCTCCCTTCCTCCCTCTCCCTCCCGCTCTATCTGTACAAAAAAAAAATAGAAAAATATCCTCGGGTGAGAATAAAAAAAAAAAAGAAGTACGCAAGTCGATAACAAGAAATAAACACTTCATTAGCTGAATTACCCAGACTGTATTATTTTCCCACTACAACATTTTAATATGCGGGAAAAAAAGGTAAAACCGAACTTTTTTAAGTGCATTAAAATCTTATTTTAAAAGACTGGATCAAGTACTTCACAAAAGAGGATATCCAAAAATTTAAAGAACAGGCATTCAAGTTCATTAGTCATCACCAAAATGCAAATTAAAATCACAACATACTGATACTATATACCACCAGAACTGCTAAAATGAAAAAAAAAATTACAACTATATATATGTAAAGATGTAGAAAAATATCATCTACTGCTGGTGAGAATGTAAACTGGCACAACCACTGTGGAAAACTTTGGCAGTACCTACCAAAGCTGAACATACTCATATTCTATCACTTCACAATTCCAACTATGTCCCTAGTATATACCCAACTGAAATGTGTATATCTATTCACTGAAAACATGTATATGAATGTTCACAGTGGCACAATTTTTGATAGCCAAAACCTAGACACAACCAAAAAATATATATTTTCATACAATGGGATATTTTACAGCAATGACAACAAATATATCATAAACATGCAGCAACAAGTATGAATTCACTAATACTGAGAGAAAGAAACCACAAAAGGGTACATATATATGATTATTTAGGCTACTTACATAAAGCACAATAACAGGCAAAACTAATTAGAAATCATAGTCATGGTTACTCCTGGGGTGGAAGGCAGTGACTAAAAGGAAACTCAGGGTTGTTTGTGAGCTTCTGATGGTCTATTTCTTATTCTGGTTAGTGGATACATGGGTGCTCAATTTGTAAAAATTTGTTCAGCTATATACTTATAATCTGTGCATTTTTCTGTATATACTTCAGTAAGTTATTCTACACTCAAAATTTTTATATAAGGTAAGTAGAAAAATCCTATTTTAAAATGTTTTGCTAAATATCTTGTATGTGATTAGACCATGTTAATCAATCTTTGGTTCTCTTCAAATGTTTACATTTTTTAGTAATTAAGCTGAAAAGTTAATTGAAAGGTCATGGCCAATGCATTTTTTCAATAAGTAAAGAGCACAGTATAAGCAGCAGGAAAGTAAGAAGATCATCATGCTATATAATGAATTATATACCTCTAGACCCATTTCACCTCGGGCTACTCTCCAAGCCACTGACCCAGATATTCTTCCACCAAGTTCTCCAGGTTTAGGGGTTTTGGGAGATATAAATTCAACAAGCTCCACAATTATCCTCTGGAGAAGTTCTTTTCTTCTGTTTTCTGACAAAGATATTTGCCTCTGCAATTCATGTTTTAAAAAAAAGTCATTAAGATTAGGAAAATGTAGAGGTCCATCTCTAAGTAAGAATGTACTTAAAACATTTGTATCTTAAGGGGATCTTAAAAGAAGAAACATACTTTATTTTCATATGTATAATTATTTGGAAAATAAAATGGACACTACAAAATTCGAAATAATTTTATAAAATTTATGTAAAGAAATCATTTTATACCCATATCCAACTCTACATGACCTTTACTGTCCTAGTTTTAAAAATGAAGGTAGTAACCTCTGTTTTTGGCCACAATAAACTAGCTTGTGTCAGACCAACTGTTTGCTGAGAAACGCTAGAAAAGGGGGACAACGTGCACACAGACACACACACCTGTTTGAATGCAACAGAAAACTACCAACATAGCCAGGACGGAGGAAGCTAAGATCCCAAAAGATGAAGGAAACTGAGGTGAACCAATATTGCACCTTTTTTGCCTTCCAGGCATTTGCTAATTATTAACTGAAATGAGGAGGGGAGGCTGAGAAACCAAGCACAAAGTGGAGGCTAAAGTGCTGAAAAACAAAGCAGAATTTTTAGCAGAAACAAAGTGCTGGCAAGTAAATAATTAGAGTCCAGAGCCTTCCGTGGTGAGGGGCTCTAGTAGATACTCCAGGTTTTCAGTTTAGCATCTCTGAAGGGTTACACATTAGAAGTAAGGCGAGACTCAAAATAGACTAAAACCTCACTCTGAATCTCAATCACTGACTACATTAAGGTGATCGGCCTCTAATCTAATTAGCCTTCTAATCTAATTAGCCTTCCAGCAGCAAAAAAGTCATATAAGTATACAGTTTAAAATTTCAATACTACCACAGGGGTGTACAATAAAAACAATCTTCTCTCTTGAACCCTCAGGTCTTCTCAGAAGTAATCACTATTAAACAATTTCCTGTGCTTTGTTTCAGAAACTTCGATAATTGAACAAGTGTGTGTGTGTGTAATTATATTCAAGACACAATTACTTGGATAAATAAAACAACACACTTTTTGTCAAGTATTATATATACTTAAATTTTGTTTCCCTGATCTTTAACAGACAAGACAATTTAATGTAAAAAAGTACAATATGTAAAATAGGTCGTCGAAATTTTTAATGAAGAAAATGACATTTAACTTATTAAAATATTTCTGCTTGCAAAATAATGCTACAACTTTAAAAACTGGCTCTTGATTATTTCAAATGTCCTCTCGAAAATGACAAATGCCCATCACCTACCTGTTTATTAAGTCCATTAATAGTTTCTCGAAGTAAATCTTCTTTAATCTGAGTTCTTCTGGAGATTACCTCTTCATGTTTACAAGAATATCGCCAAGTGACATCAACCACCTCAAATTACAGAATACAAATTAACGAGATTACAACCATCAACCTTAAATACATAGAATGTAATTCTTAAATATAAAATTTTAAATGCTATTTTTGTTTAAAGTTTTAAAACCTGTGGGAAAAAAATCAGAGAATGTGTTTTTTATTCATTTTCTAACAGGCACACTTCCAAAAAATACTCATAAAATGCAATTTTCAGAATATTTAGGCATTTAAAACTTATCTACAAAGCTGATTTCACAAAAAACAACAAAATATAAAACCTTTTCCATTTTTACTAAATAATATTTGTATTATAGAACTGATTTTTGACAAAGGTGCAAAAAGAATTCAATGGAAAAATGATAATCTTTTCAACAAATGTTGCTAGAACATGTTATCCATATGCAAAACAATGAATTTCAATCCACACCCTGGAGTATATACAAAATTAACTCAAAATGGCTTGCAGACCCAAGTGTAAAATTAAAAGCATACAACTTCTAAAAGAAAATCAAGGCAAAAATCATTGTGTCTTGAGTCAGGCAAAAAGTTCTTAGAAACAACATCGAAGAGCATGATCCATGGAAGGACAAACTGATATACTGGAATGAGTTTATTTCTTTTCGTTAAAAATCGTTGAGAGAATGAAAAGATAAGGCACAGATAAGAAAACATTTTTTTGCAAAGCAGTATCTAATAAAGGACTTGCATTCAGAATATGTAAGGAATTCTCAAACTCAACAAATATAAAATAGACTAATTTTTAAAAGGGCAAAGAGGACATGTGGACAACAAGCCCATAAGAGATGCCCAGTATTGCATGGCTACTGGAACAGTCAGACATCTCTCAGAGGGAGGGGGTAGGGTACTGGATAAAAGAAGGTGAAGAGATTAGCCAAAGAACATATATACATGACCCACAGACACAGACACCAGTGTGGTGATGGCCAGGGCTGGGTGGGATAGGGCAGGGGACTGGGTGGAGGTAGGCAAAGGGAGGGGAAAATGGGGGACATCTGTAATAGTATCAACAAAAAAATTTTTTCCTGTTAAACTAAAAAATAACTAAAAGTGCGGATAAGATGTTTTATTATGCAATATTTTCATACATATGAATGTACATGTGTAAGCTGTGAAAAATAATAATAAATTGAACACTATAAACCCCCCCCCATAAAAAAAGATGCTCAGTATTATTTGTCATTAAAGCAATAAAAATGAAAACCACAATGAGATCCCACTACACATCTAGTACAAGGGCTAAAATTAAAGAGTGAGACTACACTAAATGTTAGCAAGGACATGGAGAAACTGAGCACTCCTACTGGTGAGAATGTAAAACGGTACAATCACTTTGGAAAACAGTATAGTAGCATTTCTTAAAAAGTTAACCACACATTTACCATATGGTCCAGCCATTCCACTTCTAGTAATGTACCAAAGAGGGTAGAAAGCATATTTCCATTTAAAGACTTGTGCTGAATGTATATAACAGCTTTATTTGAAATACAAAAAACTGAAAAATACCCAAATGTCCATCAACAGGTGCATGAATAAAAAAACAAACAAACTATGGTACATCCATACAAGAGACTACTACTCAGCAATAAAAAGAATAACCACTGATACATGAAAACACATGGATGAATCTCAAAATAATTATACTGAATGAAATAAACCAGACTCTCCCATCCCCGCCCCACCAAAAAGAGGATACAGATGCTCCTTGATTTGTGATGGGGTTACATCCCAATAAATCCATTATAAGTTGAAAATATCATAAGTTAAAAATGCATGCAATACCACTACACTAGAGTATTGGTTCTTTACCCTATGACTGAACGGTTTACTGGGAGCGGCAGGTCGCTGCCACTGGTCAGCATCACGAAGAGTATGCTACTGCGTATCGCCAGCCCAGAAAAAATCAAAATTCAAAATTCAAAGTACAGTTGCTACTGAATATATATTGCTTTTGCACCATTATAAAGCTGAAAAACCATCAACAGTCGTAAGTAGAACCATCTATATATCATATGATTCCATTTATATAAAACTACATCTGTGGTTGCTTGGATAGGGACAAGCAGCAGAGATACCAAAGGGACATGTGGAATTTTCCAGGGATAGTGGCTATGTTCACTCTCTTGATTTTGTAAAGGTAATTTCAAAGGTGTATATAAATGACAATGTTTATTAAACTGTATATTTTAAATAGATGCCACGTTTTGCATGTCAATTATACTTTCAAAAGCTGTCAAAAAATTGTATTTTATTCTTAGAAAAAATGTTTCCTCTTACGCCCTACCTCATCTTTAGAAAACGCTAGGACATAGGACAGCTTCTTGCCCCAGCCTACTTCATAGAGAAGCGGCTTGTCACAGACATCTTCACATGCATCACAGTGCAGCCACCGCTGCTGAGAAAGGGAGTAGACTTCGGTCCAGACGTGGTCTAACAAGTGAGACAAGACAGCAACAGGAAAAAGGGAAAAATGGTTAAGTTTATAAAACCGGAACGAGCCCCAGTAACTATATACAAACTCCTAAGATAAGAACCACATAAGAAAGTTAGGTGGAACAGTCTAAATTTTAGTTAACACATTGCGTACCGCATAGAAATCTCTAAGACATACGCCAGGGACCGCACGTTTTTGGGCAAACTGCACGTTAGGTTCTGAGCTGCACTCTTTTGAACCAGCAGATATCCATTCCCTAGCTACTTCAAGAATATAGAACGGTGTGCTGTTTTGCGAACTTCGACCCTCAGGGCATAGAGTCACAGATACAATAATCCTATATTACCCTGAGTTTCAAAAACTGAAATAGCTAATGCAAGTGCAAACCCGAATTAACTCATGCGCGGTCCGCAACATCTGAGCAGGAAAACACAAGTTAACTCATGAGTGGTCAAAAATGTGTTAAGACTGAACATTTTGTGGCACACACGGCTCTAGAACATTTGTTTTCTCTTGTCTCTTTGAAATCCTTGAAAATGTTTATGAAATACCTCTTTTAATGTAGTCAGTTTTAGGCTTAATTAAAAATAATGTGAGTTATAACTTTTAAAAAGGTGAACATTGAATAATAGCATCAAAAACACAGGAATCAATTTACTAACTGGAAGTTAATGCCACTTTTGAAAATGCAGTCTCTCTCCACCCAGAACCTGAAGAAGGTCTAAAAGAGGATCTCTGGTTACTGATGTTTATTTGCTTGTAAGAGAACCATACTAAGTGGTTTAACTTTATTAGTTAAAAGCAACAATAATGAAATACAAGTAAGACGGTAAGAACAAGGAAAACAACTTTTTAACATATAGACGACATGAGTCATTTCTAAATAAGGATAAAATACAGTTCACATGGCTTTCATTACTTTTTTTGTATATTAAGACTTAAGATTACTAAATCTTATAAACTAATCCCTACAAAAGTGAAGATTTCTATAATACATCATTATTATATATGTTCTTATCCATACAGAAACACCATTACTAAAAATGGCATGGTAAATTATTAATAAAAGGTTTATAGTACAAAGTACTAGGCAAAATGCTAGGTATACTACAAAAATCTTGTGATCCCCACAAAAACCCCATGAGGTTGGTACTATTATTATTTTACAAAAGGCAAATGGAAGCTTAGACTGACAAGGCCAGAAAGTAACAGACAACATAACAAGCCCAAACTGTAACCCCCAACCCTTGAGTCTGCAAAGCCAGACTGCTCTCTGCTCATACCAGTCCTGTACCTGTGTAATCCCACACATAGCGAGCTTCAAACCCTAAGGCTCGGCAGCACAGTGTGAAACAATTGGCCCACTCGCCACATCGTCCACATCTTGTTTCCAAAAGTTTCTCAGGATTATTGTACCTAGTTTTAAATAACAGAAAAGAAAAGAAAGAACAATCCTTGATTCATTATCAAAAATAAGAATTTTAAAGAATTTGTTACTTCTGTGCTAAACAGTAATATTTCTAATTTCATATTTGTAATGATTAAAGAACCTAGACATATGAGGCAGTGTACTAGAATCTTTGGTGGAAATGATTAAACAGTGGTACAACCTTCAAGGAGTTTACAGTCCTAAGAGGGAGAAGGAATTAACACAACTAACTTGAATACACAGGAATGTGATTCAGACTGTCCAGTAGGTCAGATCAGTGTTACAGGAAGTGGCTGGGGAGGACAGCTTGTATTTGAACTGGCCTTGAAGGACAGACAGGATTTGCACAGGCGGAGATTCTCCAGGAAATCTGCTTTGAGCATTAGTATTATCCTAACAAGTAATATAATTAGCTCATTGTATTTAAAAGGTAAACAACTTTAACAGACTACTCAATAAAGCTTGTAAGCTTAGTTGAACTCAATTTTACTTAAAATACGATTTTTGTCTCTACTGATTGTTTTAATTGAAATTCTGTTCTTCTGAACTAACTTAAAGGTGCTTGCTAATTTGGAAGTTGTTCTTTAAACAATAGTTGTTTGCTATGTCTCAAATTATAAAATTATCACAAAACTGGAGAACAGCAAATTTTGCATGTGTGTCGAGAAGGATTTTGGGCTGATAAAGCTAAGCAGGAAAAGTGCCCCCGATGAGCAGAAATGCTGGCCATGAGCTTGGGAGAGAAGGACCAGCTGCACGAATAAACTGCTCTGCAATGAGAAGTTTGTCTTAAGCAGATGCTCTTGCTTAAGCTAAGTTAAATGAATTTATAATTTAGGTAATTAAGTTATTGCAAAGTTATAAATTTACATTAGGAAGTCGAATAGCATAATCAGAGCACCCTATACCTCCATCTTCTGTATACTACTTGTGTCAAGTTGAAGGACCAGCTCAGCCTCTGATTAATAGTGCTAATCATTCCAACCTTACAGAGAGCAGCTAACAAACAATACAATGAGCAAATGTTTAGAAAAAAAGAAAAATAACACTGTGTATAAATGTTTGTTAGCCTGGGTCCCTCCACATTACATTATCAGTTAATATCCAACTGCCTTGAAAAAATTTGAAATTTAATTATATATAGCTCGTATCTTCAAATCTTTGCAAAATGTCCCTGCACACATATGCTGAATGAAGAAATAACTTGTACAAATTTTAGATAATTACTGGATATTGGTATTATTGATCCTATATTCTGTATACACAGGGATGGTTCCCATTAGGAGAGAGCTGAGTTCCTAAACCCCCCAAATTAGGTATTTCAAACACACACTATTTTTTCTTGCCTGACGATACAACCAAACTTGACAAGTATTGCCAATTAAGAAAACCTGACAAGAGACTTATAAATTAATAGAAAAAATAAATCGAAAAGTTAAAAAATTTCCCTATTTGAAAATTTAGAGATACAAGGGTAGGTTAGGCTGGTCAGGGGAGGCACGTAATTAAAACAAACTTCTGTAGTTAAAAAAAAATACATATGATGGCACTATACTTTTACCTTTCCTATTACTATCTGATGATTATTTTAAGTACAGCATTGTCTTTGCTGTCATAATTATCAGTATTATTATTTTTATATTCTATCAAGTATTAATATTAAAGTTATCAGAAATTTAAAATTAATGTATTAGAAGAACACAAAATTAATAGCATTAAATGCACTAGGACTATACTCAATTTATATTCAAGAGTAAGAGTCAAAAACTTTACAGGTCATTGATCTGTTGCCAGTATTCAACTCTGCCACTGCAATGTAAAAATAGTTACAGACTATACATAAATGAATCAGCATGGATATGTTCCAATAAAACTTTATTTATAAAAAATAGCACGTGGGCTGGATTTAGTCTGCCAGCCATAGCTTGGTGATAGCTTGGTGATCCCTGTCTTAACAATTAAAACAAAGATTTAAAAGTTCATTTAGTAAAAATTCTCTTCTACCCATTTCATTAAGTAATGATTCTGACTTGGCTGGCCAGTGGATACCCACCTTGGGAACCGACTGCTGAACTGGCATGCATCACAATAATGATCTTCTACTCTGTTTGCACCCCACTTTAGCTCATCATCAGTGGGAAATAATGTTTCACCTCTAGCCTTAGTCTTGCCACCACATTTGCTGCACAAAATGTCATTCACCCACTGGAAAAATTCTTCCTTAAACCAGTGTAAAAGCTCCAGCAAAAGAAAATCCTCATTACTTAAATTAGTACCTGAGAAATTAAAACAGAACCAAGTAAGGGCTAAAACTGACAAAAACTAAAAATATCTACATACTTTATTCTTAAATATGAGCTGAAATATATGAAAACATAAGATGATCTAAAAGGTTTGCACAAATACTGATGCAAGAAAGAAACGTCAGTATATTGTGAACCAGGCTGAAATACAAAAACAATACACTGCACATTTAGAACAGCAGGGTGTTTACCAGTTTGTACCTTCTAACTGACATTATGCATGAACATGTGAGCTGAACACGACAATCTCTCAGGGAACTATGGTCAGTTTGGAATTGATCCTGAAACACATGGGAAGTAAGAAAAAAATGTCTGATTTGGAAATACACTTTAAAGTTACTACATTAAATTTGTTACCAGATATATATATATATATATATATATATATATGTAAATATGAAGTAATTACTAAATCACAGGCAGAAATCACAATATCCCAGACACTTTCATCCCATTAGCTTTTCTAGCAGTGCTTCGATGTACAACATAATCCATCCATGGACACTCTCCACAAAACACAAACACGAGCATGTCTACACTGTATATAATGACCCTGGCAAATAAGCATGGCATATAATATTATACCCACTTTAGCAAATGAAAAGATCTTTCTTGCCCGGCTGGTGTGGGTCAGTGGCTGAAAGTCAACCCATGCAACCAGAGGTCCCTGGTTCGATTCCCAGTCAGGGCACATGCCCATGTTGTGGGCCAAATCCCCAGTGGGGGACATGCAGGAGGCAGCCAACTGATGTTCTCTCATCAATGTTTCTATCTCTCTCTCCCTTCCTCTCTCTAAAATCAATAAAGAAAAAAAAAAAATCTTTCTTGACCATATTCAAGGCAATGGTATCTCTGGAACGAAGAAAAGGGGGAAATAATCTAGGAGACCTATACAGGGAGCTCTCATCTTTCTCTACCATGTTTTATTACTTAGTAAATGATACATGAAGGAAATGTATGGCATAATGTTAAGACACAAAGTTAAATGCTGGTCATGAGTGTTTGATATATTACACTCTATTTTTGTATTTATGTTTGATATATTTCTAAATAAAAACTATAAAAGATACACAGAGGATTTTAAAAGGCCAGAAATGTATTATTTCCCTAGATTAAAATACCCAATAAAGTTTTTAATTCTCCACAAATTAATCTGTAATTTAATGCAATCCCAATTAAAATTATAATTTTTCATAAAATCTGCCAAGCTACCTGAAAAATTCATGTCAAAAGAAAAAATGCACAAAATAGTTAACATAACATTGAATAAGAATCATGAGATAAATGTGCCTACTCCATATCAAAATACATCATAAAATTCTAATGATTAAAATATTGTGATATTGGTGAAGAACAGACAACAGATCAATAAAACAAGAGTCCTGAAAGACAGATTTCTTTTTTGTTTTTCCTTCTTAATGAATTTATTAGGGTGACACTGGTTAACAACATTATACAGGTTTCAGGTGCACAATTTTGTAACACATCATCTATACACTGTACTGTATGTTCACCACCCCAGTCAAGTCTCTGTCCATCACCATTTATCCCTCCTAGTCCCTCCTCGACCTCCCCCATTCCACCTCTGCCCAGGCAGTTCCCACACTGTTGACCATATTCATGAGTTTTTTTCTTTTTTTCTCAATCCTTCCACCCCTGCCAAACAGCCATCCCCTGAACCACTGACAACTGTCAGCGTGCTCTCTATGTGGCTCTCTCTTTTGCTTGATAGTTCACTTTATTCATTATATTCCACATATGAGTGAAATCATATGGTACTTGTCTTTCTCTTACTGGCTTATTTCACTCAGCATAATGCTCTTCAGGTCCATCCATGCTGTCACAAAGGGTAAGATTTCCGTTTTTACGGCTGAGTAGTATTCCATTGTGTAAATATACCACAACTTTTTTATCCACTCATCTACTTATGAGCACTTGGGCTTCTTCCAAATCATGGCTATTGTAAATAATGCTGCAATGAACATAGGGGTACATATATTCTTTCAAATTAAGTGTTTCAGGTTTCTCAGGATATATTCCCAGAAGTAGAATCATGAGGCAATTCCATTTATAATTTTTTGAGGTAATTCCACACTGCTTTCCACAGTGGCTGCACCAAACTGCATTCCTACCAGCAGTGTACTAGAGTTCCCTTCTCCACATCCTTGCCAGCACTTGTTCGTTGATTTATCAAAGACAGCCATTCTGATGGGCGTGAGCTGATACCTCATTGTGGTTTTAATTTTTATTTCTCTGATGATTAGTGACGTTGTATATCTTTTCACATGTCTATAGCCCATCTGTATGTCCTCTTTGCAGAAGGGCCTATTAAGGTCCTTTGCCCATTTTTTAATTGGATTGTTTGGGGTTTTTTGGTGTCAAGTTTTATAAGTTCTTCATAAATTTTGGATATTAACCCCTTATCAAATGTATTACTGGCGAATATGTTCTCCCATTCAGTGGGTTGTCTTTTAATTTTGCTGATGGTTTCCTTTGCTGTGCAAAAACTTTTTACTTTGATATAGTGCCATTTATTTATTTTTCCTTTTGTTTCCCTTGCCCGAGGAGATATATCAGAAAAAAGATTGCTATGAATAATGGCTGAGATTTTACTGCTATAAACCATATTTAATAAAGTTAGTCTTTCAATATAGTTCTAAGAGGATGGACTGTTCAATAAATGATACTGGGACAGGTAGCTTTCAAAATAACAGATCCCTGCTGTATCTCATTCATCTTAATGTGTATATAATATTATATACAGAAATACTATAAAGTAGAAAGTAACAGAAGCTACTAAAAAATGTTTGACTTTTGTTCATGAATATGTTTATGGCTTTAACCAAGACAAAAATTGTAAAATACTGAAAAAAATTAAATTTTGTTATAAAATTTATAACTTTGCATATCAAAATATATACTAAGTGAAATTAAACAAAGAGCATTGGGGGAAAAAGTAACATGTATAACAAAGAAAAGTACCCAGAATATATAAAGAACTTCTACAAGTCTGAAATAATACTAACAAACCCATCAGAAAAATTTTAAAAGTCCATAAAAGGAGTTCAATAATTTCATTAAGTGGAAACCAATACTCTTAAGACATTTCTGGTATAAACTGGAAGTGAATTTGTTTGGCAGGATCCATCATAACAAACACATCACACACTTGTGACACTTTTATGTCAATCTAGGGGAAACGTTCGTGCATGTACACCAAGAGGCAAGATTTACAAGACTCTTCACTGAAGCAGCATTTAGAATAGAGAAAAATGGTAAAAAATATCAATGTCCTTCAATAGAGAACTGTACAAATAACAGTATATGCATACTACAGAACACCATAGAGAGTTAAAAATATTTCTTAAACATAATAGTAAATGAAAAACACCAAGGAGATAAAGATATATGGGATGATAAATTTTATGTAAACCCACACAATTTAAACTATTTATTTTTACAGATAACTGTAAATGAAAGTAAATACACATAAAAAGATATAAAAAGGGACGTGTCACGAGATAACAGCTGTTACCTATAAAAGATAGGAGGACTGACTGGAAGGAGAATTTAACTTTTCCTGAACAATATGAAAGTTTTCCAACAAAAAGGATATTCATGAATGTTAGATTAAAAATGAACTTTCAGAAATACAGCCCTGCTATCATCTTTCTCCTCAGAGTCCCTACAATAGCCAGATAAGAAACATTTACATAGAAACTCGTAGTAAAATGCGGAAGTTGGAATGATTTAACAACTGAAATCCTAAAACCATTCATGATAACAACATACAATTATTGATAGATGAATATGGCAGGCATTGATCAGAGCAATTTATATGTAATATCTCATTTACTTCTTAAAATTATCATTCCTATTTTCAAATGAAGAAACTGAGGCATAGAGATTAAAGTACTTGCTCAAGTGGTGCAAAGTGGCACAGCTAAAATTATACCTAGGCAATTGGCTTCAAAATCTATACTCTTAATTAGTAAATAATGAGTCTCTATTAACCAAAGTGAATCAACAGTCTAACCATATAAATTAATTGTGAATACGGTTTCTGTCAGATTCACATTAAAATTCACTAGTAATGCCATAACATATTCCATGGACTGAAGTTCTAGTACACCTAAAAAATACTAACATACTAATGATTATGATTAAACTACAAATACATATTCAGTTAAAAAAAGTTTTGTTTTTTTTAAATGTTAATGGTTGTGTTTATTAGGTATATGCAATAAATTTATGCTGTTATTGTATTCTTTAAAAGTCCAAATAGATATAGCTTAGATATTTTCAATGTATAGAGCAAAAGGCACCGTTTAGTGTTTATATTTGTTTAGAAATGATGCATTTTTAACAATGAATGGTCATGTAAAGCCACTACCTTTATCCAATTTTCTAGCTCTAGATACTTTTTCTTGAGATCTCTTTTTCAGTTGTTGGACTGGAATACAAGCCAATGCTTTCTCCTGGAGAGCACGATTCTCATAGACCAGCACATGCTGAAGGTTGGACCGAAGAACTTTTAGAATGACTGAATCGGCAGTAACCTAACAAAAAAAAGAAAATTGAAACTCGGGTTTCTCCATATGCTACAAAAATAACATAAAAACACTGGTTCTATAATTTCATAAAGAGGAATGTGTGGATTTACTGAAATAATTATACTCAAAACCTTTACAAAATTAATTATCAGGAGATAGCTATCTCTGTGTCACAGTCTAAGATCTATCTATTTTTCCCCTCTGAGTATTTATATTCCTGAGAACATATTTAAACAGGAGTATGATGAATTCTTGACCACAGGCTTGGATCACAACAATGCTCTGTGCAATGCATATGACAGCCCTTTTCCACTTCAAATTCCTGTAAGAAATGTAATTTTTAAGAACTCTATTTGGCATTAGCAAAGGAGAAGTATTCTTAAAGAGGAAAGTCAAATACAAATGAATTAAGGGAAGAAACCACAGCAATATGCCCTCCAGAAAGAGTGATTACAAAAACTTAAAAAAGTTTGCAAAATAATCCCAAAGGCAGAGGAGTCACAGAATCCACAGAGCAGGAAGAAGCCTGGAGCAAGCATCAGGGAGACTGGGTGGGCCCTGCAGAAGGAACATCGAGACACTGTGCACCCCTCACCCCATCACTCCTTGTCAACAAAGAACGTGCCTCTGAACAGTGGTGGGAGATGCTTCGACTCCTGAGGAGAAAGAGGAGTGTCCAAGCTAAGGACAGTTACTTCTGGCACAGTCCATTTAAAAACAAACAAACAACAATAATCACACACACACACACACACACACACACACACAAACAAGAACATGGAAAATACAAAATAAAATGTCAGAAATAAGTTCAAATATGTTAGTAACTAAAGTATGAATGACTTAAATATGTATATTAAAAGGTATAGGTTAATTAAAAACAAAACAAAACTTTGCCAAATACTTATTTCAGTGTCAGGTATTGTATTAAGCACTGGGGATGGGTGCACAAGACAGACATGAATCACTTTATGGTCTAAGGGGGGAAGGCATTCAACAAGAATGATAGAACCACATTATGTCAAAAACAATAGAGACCAAAACAGACAAGGGCATTAACCTCACAGAGTAAGTAATCCATGGATACATAAACAAACAGTGATACAACAATGTTCATTTACTCAAATATTTAATGACCTTTTTTATTTGCTAGGTAATGGGAATATAATGGTATGTCAGACAATTTACTCATAGGTTTGGTAAGAGTTTAAGCAAGTAATGAGAACAATGAGCCTTTTCAACAGGGTTCTGAACCTAGAATTCCCTGAATATATGATATTTGTGGTAAAATATAAAGGATGAGAAGCAGCTCGTAAATAGGAAAAGGAAAAGATCATCCCTGTCAAAAGAACAGCATGTAGATAGCTAGGGAACATATGTATGGGGGATCTATTTAGTATAAAATGATGGATCAGAGAGAAGAAAATGGTAGAGAAGGCCAAGAACAGAGTTGCGTTGGTAAGCAGCTGGATCTTTCTTACCTCTTTCCATTGTAATGGGAAACAATGAAAAAGACTTAAGCAAGGGTGTAAAATGTTTCAATTTGTGTTATCAGAATATCAATCTAGCTGTAGTGTGGAGAAAACAGGTATGAGAAGACCCAATGGGGGACGACTGCAGAACTCCTGAGAGAGCTGGTGTCTTAAACTAGGGTGGGTAGAAAAGTGAATGGCTATAAAAAGAACTTAGGAAGTAGAATAGCCTGGATGGTGTAGCTCAGTGGTTGAACGTCAACCCATGCACCAAGAAGTTGCTGGTTTGAGTCCTGGTCAGGGCATCTGCCCAGGTTGTGGGCCTACTCCCCAGTGGTGGGTGTGCAGGAGGCGGCCAATTGATGTTCTCTCTCATCGATGTTTCCATCTCTCTCTCCCTCTCCCTTCCTCTCTCTCAAAAATCAATAGAGTAGCTCTGGCCAGTCTGGCTCAGTGGTTAGAGTACTGGCCTGCGGTCCAGAGAGACCCGGGTTCAGTTCCCGCTAAGGGCGCGTACCTCGGTTGCAGCTTGTCCCTGGCCCTGGCTGGCCATGCAGGTGGCAGCCACTCAATGTGTCCCTTTCACGTCGATGTTTCTCTCTCTCTCTCTCTCCCTCCCACTCTATCTGAACAAAAAAATGGAAAAATGTCCTAAGGTGAGGATGAAAAAAAAAATCAATAAAGTAAGAAAAAAAATAGATTAAGAAAGCTACAAAAAACCTCTAGCCACTGATGCTAATACAAATAATGCAAACACACGTAAACAAGAAAACTGCAGGGCTAACACATCTTGAAGGGCTCTTTTTTTATATTACTATTTTTCCTTTATTGAAAAGTACATATACATGCACTTTTATGCCGATGTACACAACATATTGGCATAAAGATACATGTGTATACTTTATTAAGAAATACAGATTGAGTATAACCATGCTTTAACATTATCAATTTAGTGATCAATGTTATGTATTCTTTATTTCTTTTTAATCCTCACCTGAGGATAAGTTTTTATTGCTTTTAGAAAGAGAGAGAGGGAGGAAGGGAGAAAGAGAGGGAAACAATGATGTGAGAGAAACAATGATGTGAGAGAGAAACATCAATCAGTTGCCTCCTATACATGCCCCACCTGGGGATCTAACCTGCAACCTAGGTATGTACCCTGACCAGGAATTAAAGTTGCCATCTTTTGGTGTACTGAACAACACTCCAACAAATTGAGCCACTTGGCCAGGGCAATCCTGTGTTTTCTTGAAGTGTGAAACTCATTCCTGTGCCTTCACCTTTGCCCAAGTTCTCATTATAGTTGAGCAGGCTGTTCTAGGAGTAAAGAATGCTGTGGCTGGCAATAAATCCACTGAGGCTGGTAGTAAATCCACAGATGCTGGCAATAAACCACAGATGACAGGTTGATGCAAATTTAAAGATAACATCAGAACAGAAAGAATGAGTCTAGGCAGGAACTGCAAGTCTGCAGAATACTCCCCTTCAGCTTTTCCTCTTACTCCCACTTCCCTTTCTGCTCTGTATAACTACTCAGCTTGCCAAGAGTTGCTAAGATAGGTTTTGAGGATATGTTTTGAGGATAGGAGTCCAGTCTTCTCAAGTTGCTGGCACTTGAATAAACCACTTTCCTTCTCACCAACACCCGTTTCATGAGTTTGGCTATCATTGTGGCAGGCAGCCAAATCTGGGTTCAATTTTAAGAGGATATGCTTGAAAACATTTTATTGACTGGACATATAATCAAAATATGAAGACCCACTAGACAAATATGTGAGATGCAGCTATGAGTACAGGGTACTTGTAAAACTTGCTGTAAAAAGTAAGTGAGAAATACAGGACATGCAGAATCCAGGGATATCTGTGTGCTTGTTTCTAAGATAAGAAAGCTTACAGAAAAGGTTCTTGCACTTTAATTTGCTTATGAAAAAATGCAGATTCCCAAGTTCCCCCTCTCCCTTTCTGGTTCAGCTGGTCTGGGTTATGTAAAGGAATCTGCACATCTAAGTTATTCTGATACTAATGGTCCAACCTTAGATGAAAACTGGCCTTAAAGCAAGGTTTAAATGCCACTGAGAAGAATCCCCAAGACTGGACACAATCTATGTGAGATCACAAGGTGAACAGAAGAGAAGGGATACAGACAGGCACAGAAGGAGAACTGGCCTTTATTAAGAGTAGACACATTTCACCTTTTAACAGAAGGAATGAGGGCAACAGATGACTAAAGAAACCTGATGATTTAGTGATAAGAAATCCAGGGCAGCCCTAGCCAGTTTGCCTCAGCAGTCAGAGTGTCGGCCTGCGGTCCCAAGAGACCTGGGTTCAGTTCCCGCTAAGGGTGCGTACCTTGGTTGCAGTTTGTCCCCAGCCCTGGTTGGTCGTGAGGGTGGCAGCCACTTGATGTGTCCCTTTCACGTCGATGTTTCTCTCTCTCTCTCTTCCTCTCTCTCCCTCCTGCTCTGTCTAAACAAAAAATGGAAAAATGTCCTCGGGTGAGGATAAAAAATAAAAAAAAAAGAAATCCAGGACATTCATAACAGGGAGAAATACGCTCCTTTATCAGAATTGATATAGAAACATAAAAAAAAAAGTTTCCATAACCATATGATTGGCTTGTGATCCTGCTTCAGGTTTTCCTAAATTCTTTCAAACAAGTGGCATCAGATAGCCCCATACCTCTCGTTAAGTAATACACAGAAACAAACACAGGGAGGCAGCCAAAATGAGGAGACAAAGAAACAGGTCCCAAATGAAAGAACAGAACAAAACTCCAGAAAAATAACTAAGCGAAATGGAGATAAGCAACCTAACAGATGCTGAGTTCAAAACACTGCTTATAAGGATGCTCAGTGAACTTAGTGAGGGCCTCAAGAGCATAAAAAAGGACCAGTCAGAAATGAAGGAGGCACTAACTGAAATAAAGAATAATTTACACAGATTCAATAGTAGAATAGGTAAAGCCAAGAAGCTAACCATAGTTTTAAAAGATAAGGAAGCAAAAAAAATACCCAATCAGAACAGCAAAAAGAATCCAAAAAAATGAGGATAGTGTAAGGAGCCTCTGGGACAACTTCAAGCGTGCCAACACTCGCATCTTGGGGGTGCCAGAAGAGAAGAGAGAATAAGAAATCGAAAACCTATTTGAAACAATAATGGCAGAAAACTTCCCTAACTTGGTGAAGAAAACAGACATACAAGTCCAGGAAGCACAGAGAGTCCCAAACAAGATGAACCCCAAGAGGCCTACACCAAGACACATCATCATCAAAATGCAAAAGGTTCAAGACAAAGAGAGAATCTTAAAAGCAGCAAGAGAAAAGCAGTTAGTTACTCCCTTATAAGTATAAGGGAGTTCCCATAAGACTGTCAGCTGATTTCTCAAAAAAAGAAAGCTTGCAGGCTAGAAGGGAGTGGCAAGAAATATTCAGTGATGAAAAGCAAGAACCTACAACCAAGATTACTCTATCCTGCAAAGCTATCATTTAGAATTGATAGCCATATAAAGAGTTTCCCAGACAAGGAAAAGCTAAA